AGATTTGAAAAAATTCATGGAGATCAACTAAAAAAGAGCCAGGTTTTCTTAGCTTAAGCAGATTGTTACACTTAAAGAATAAATATTTGGGATTATCTTGTGTACAGTTTTCATTAGCCTTTTTTAAATCTCTCATTCCTACAAAAAACTCAAAAATTACATTATCTGTCCTGGAAAAGACTAAAAAAACAACTGAAAAGTCGTCACATAAAAAACGATTTCATCATCTTATAATATTTTATGTCATCACAGTTATTAGGTATGTTGTAAATTTCCTACACATTTTTAATGTTTTAAAGGGTTAAGATGGCAATCAAACGGCCGACAACAAGTAAAATCATTTCAAAGCAAACAACAAATTTATGAACCTCTTCAGAACTCCACCTTGTTTCTTGAGAAACTTTATGAAAACTTTGGGGTAATGTTCGGCCTGAGGAATAATTTTCTGAACTGTGTCTAAATTATTATGTTGCCCGAATGTATTCAACAAGTAGGGATTACAAATTTCTAAGCTATTTCACTAAAACGATTTAATCTATCATTTAATATTAGATCAATAACTTGTAGAAAGAAGCTATTTTCAAAAGCAAAAAAAAGTGAGCTTAACAATTATTTCCAAGTGCACTTTTTGAGCCATTAAGAATATTTTAACCTTTTTATTTGCTTGATTCGATGTGCTATAAAAATTTTGAGTATTTCTTCAGGAGAATGGGTGCATTAAATTCCGAAAACATGCCACTGCTATCTCGTCCTCAGAGAATACAGAGGCTACATTTAAGCAGAGAAATGAATGAAATGGGGCAATTTGTTATTCCTCAAAAGAGTTCTCCGACGAAAACGAAAAAAAAGAAATTGTAGATCTGTTTCATATAACTTTCATGAAAACAACGTTTCGGATTATAGCTACCATTTTGTCGTCAAGTAGTGGCACCTTGGTAACACGTATCCAACGATTACCCTCGTATTGAGCTAAAATTGAATCTAATCGAGGCCACAGCATCGGTCCCAAAAAACACAGCTGTAAAGATAGCACCAACAAAAATGATCGAATTAACTGTTGAAGCCAATCATTTGTGACACCAACTTAAAATATTAAGATTTCTTCTTGTTCTTGTTTATTTTATGGAGATTTTTTAAATATATCCACAAACAAACATATAACCATATCCCTAAACAAAAAATTTATGCGTGAGTGGTTTAGGACCTTACCTTATTGAGTGAGTTTCAATAAAATTACAGCATTCTTTAGATTCGTTATCAAGATTCTTATCAACTGATTTTTTTTCAGAATTTCCAAGATATCGAGCTCCAAAGAGCAAATTTGCTCACAGTTTTGGAAAGTCTGGCAAATAATACCGGTAAGAAATGTTTCACTAAATCATATTTGCTTGTTGCATTCTTCCTAATGATCGAAATTTAAAATTTTGACCTCAAATTTACAATTAAACTCAGATCTCATCCCGCTAACCGCCCTTTCGGATATCAGCTTGAAAATTTATTGGTCTGATTTTACAAACATTGGTGATTTTAATATTAGCACCCTGTACAATAATGACTATATCTTACTTTAAAGTAACATTTCATATTCTTTAGCTAAGTAAACTTTAAAAGAAATAGCACATACAATGAATATATCCATACAACACAACAGTTGCCTCTCCATTCTATTCTCAAACCAATATTTACAAAACCAATATGCTAGGTTTTAGATAAAATGCCTCTTTGTAGAAATTCTGCTAAAGATTGCCAAAGATCTAACCGACATTGGCAATGGAGGGACAGAAATCATTCCGAAATTGACGGACTCTTCGTTCAGACGGTCGGCGTTTAGAAACGTAAGTTACCGCCTTAAAATATGATTTCATTTGTTGTACTGAAAATATCTAATATCTTTCTAATAAAGTATAGTGCTCTGGGAATTGAAGGCCTTGGTAGAGAAAGGATGCTCCAAAGACTCTCAAAGCATAATAATGAAAATATAACGTTGATTGGCCATGACATAACAATTTGTAATAATCTGCTTAGTATGACTTTCGAATGACAAGCAATGATTTTTGCTACATTATTCCGATTAATCATGTTCTCAGTTGTTCGATGTTTATTTTCAGTTGAAAACTCACGCCACTGCCTGCATCAACGACCTCATCAATGCAAATGCCTTGGTAAGAGATAAAATTGCTTCCTTTAACCTATGAACAATTATTTTGTAAAACTTCCTTGAAAAAATTATATGTCTTGAAACATAATGATTCTAAAACCGTGTTTACAACATGCAGGGCATCGAATAGTAAGGTTGAACTACACGTAGTATTTTGAATAGACTTTAGAAGTAGGGGTAACTTTGTAGCAACAGGCAAAAGGATCCTCTGGCTTTCTTGGCACTCCACCATTTAGAGCAGTTGCGTACATTGATTTTTTAGAATAGAACAGGAAAAAGGAACATGAAAAATTAAGTTTGCAGGCAGTCCGACTGACCAACTGTTCAACCAAAATGGAGGTTTTACAAGTAAACTATCGATTTACTGTGGTTATGGAATGGCAAAGGCCAACTTGCTCGTCTTATACCACCTCACCTTCCATACACCAACTATATTCGGATTTATATGTAACCTCCCTACCAGGATAACAGAATTGAAATTAAGTGCATGCCTTACTTTCGAACCGTTCACTCACGAGTGAATAAGTAAAAGATGACTGCGCGGTGTCTGACTATAATATGATCTATATGTAACCTCTCTATCAAGCCACAGAAGGAAAATCGAATCAATCCTTCACTTTTTAGTCTTAGGTCTCGAAGCATTTGCTCAACAGCAAATTGTTAAAAATTGTGTTCATGTTTGTTTACTTCTTCAGGTTGATGACTATAACGCATCCACCAGGCTTGAAGACATTGGCCAGATTGTGCGACAAATTGTCCAATCTTTGGATAACCTTCTATTCACAATCGAAGACATAGAAAAGGTTTGTTAACATCGAATTTTGATATTAGCAGTAAAGTTTGATGCAGATAAACTAACATCCATTAACTTGGCATTACAAATCATGGTTCTTTTTTAACTTGATAATGAGTAACTTGATATCACAAATTATGATTCTATTTTCTCGAAATCATTCTAATTTCTGAAAATGTCTCCGAATTCTTCATCCACAGAATCCAATGGTTACGACAGTCCTGAGCGTCGAAATACAACTTTTACTCCACTTTGCAACACTGGATCCGGTTGAAAGCTCAAAATCTTTCAGGGAAATAATGAAAGAACTCGAGCAACTCTTTCAGGTCTGCGATCTTAGTTGCAAAGAGGAGTTCGATGTTGCCATGATGTTTGGGGCAGGCATTTTCAAGATTGGTCCCTTCAAATTCGAAAGAATTGTGGCTGTGGATCAATGTTGCGACCAACGAGGTCAAGCCCAATTTTTGGAGAGTGGGATCAAAGGGAGAAAACGAAAGAGACAAGATGAGGTTTCTTCACATGATCGGTCCTCTAATGGTATAGATGAGCAGTCAAAGAAAAAGGTGAAGCAAGATGCTACAGAAGATTGGGAGACTCGAGAAAACGAGAGACTCTCCACTGACTATAATGTTAACAAAAATGATTTCGTAAGAAATTGGTTTAAAAGCGAATCAAATACATCATACGAAATTAAAGAACCAAATTTTCTACCGATTATTCAAAAACAGAAAACGAAACCTGATCTTTCAGAAATGAATACACCGAACCCAGCTACGCCGGAATCAAATTTAGCTAGGGACAGATTAAATAAAAAAGAAAAGAAAAGTCCTCTAAGAAAAACGAGGTTGGGTCGAATAAGAAAACAGGTTTCAAACCTTTTTGCAATGAAAGCGCGCTTGACAAGTAGAAATTACAGGCATTGAAGTTGAACCAAACAATTTCAAATTAGGCCCCAATTAGAATGTTATTTTATATACAATTTGTTGCATACGTTGCATAATATTAACATTAACAGTTTTAGATTAATTGATTTAATACAAAAGAAATATTTGAATAAAAAACTACTTCCTTAAATGAACAAGCAAGTTGTAGACAACAATTAAAACACTGTTCGTTATAATTTTTTGAATCCTTAGATAGTAATAATTACAAACCTGAATATCTCTGAATTTATCTGAATGTATTAGGAAGAATTTGGTTTATAGATCGCATTGATATATTAGAACCCTGAGTCTTTTTCGCGAATTCTCTGCTGATTTGATAATTTTCTATGAATAACTTAAAGACAATTTTCTAACAAGGTTACATGAGTATATAGGAGTGAGGAAAAAAATATAGAACTCCAACATATCCAAATTCGGAATCATTTTTGTCAATGCATTTAAAAGTTGGGGAAAAGCTTAATTGAGACCAAAAATGCAGATACACATACAGGGATATCACATACTATTGAAATAAATCAGGCAATCTCATAGTTTCTTGTCAAATTTGTCCTTAAAACCACTGTGTGTTTGAGTTTTGCCTTTTGACCAATCATTGTCACATTAGGCTTTATGAAAAACTCGCCTTAAATGTGTCAACTAACAAGAAGTTTCTAAAGTAACTGACAGTCTAAATATTAAAAACCCAAACAACAGCTTTGTATATGTGACTGAAATTGGCAACTACTTGTTCCACTGACAAAGTACCTCAAAGTCAAAGTGTCATGAAGGCTAGATGGGTGGTTGCCTTTGATAAACATATAAAAAAGGTTGCGCTTGTAGCTTTGAGAACAAATAAACATTGCGCTTAAAAAAGGTGAAAGTAAGGCATGCAATTGTCTGCCATATAGAACTGCAAATGAAAAACACCCAAACCCAAAATCAGCAAATATGAAGATACAAATCCTGCTTGGATGATGATTAGCGCTTTTCAGAGAGATTAAGTAAACACTGATTAAAATCTCTCCATGAAAATGAAATTAACCAATGAAGTTCATGAGTTGGATTCTATAAAAAATGCCCTGTCAAACATAAATTTCAAGCTAAACTTGAATATGTAAAAACATACCTTGGATTAAAATGCCACCTAACATAACCGGGATGAGCTTGCAGCACTTGAAAATAACCTAGGGTATATAAAAATTGATTACTAACACAAAAAATAAGTTTTCAACTCTACTTGAAATCTCCCAGAAATGTTCCAGAAATCTTAAAATGAATTCCTTTAAAACACATCTCAGAAAATGCAGAATTTAATTAAGTAAAACTGATTTAGAATTCTAATGGAATTATGATGAAAGTTGTACCCCAGGTAGGATGTTCACAAAGCAGAATCATTTCATTACCAGCACAAAGGTCTGACTTAACAGGATTCAACTGTGTTTTGGAATGGGGCCCTCACTAAAGAAGTTCAAGAACTGTGCTGAAGCCAATACCACAAATCCTTAAATAAGTTCCACTTTCAAAAACAAACCCCCTCTTGAATAAGACCCCATGCAGAAGTACATTTGTGAAATGAGCCCCCACCCTCAATTAAGCACAAACTGAGGTATGGGGCAAGGGGTTGATCGAATTCGAGGAAAAAATGTCATATCCCTATTTTCAAACCTATCAAAGTTATCACTCAAGTCATTGATCAATTTCACAAAATAAAGCTGCTTTTATTATTTTCAATTTCTTCTCCAGTTTCATATCAAAATTCTTATTTATTTCTTTCTTTTTGGTTACTTTTTCGATGAAAGTTGTTGCTATTGTCTTGCAATTTGTTACTGCCTTATATTTGGCAGGCACACTTCATCCAACCTCAAGTTTTTTATCCCAAGTCCCAACCTTAGATATGGAAAGAATACAGTCAGATATGGCTTAAGCTCTATAAGGTATTTCGGTGCCAAACTCTGGAATGAATTGCCTGATAATATTAGAACGGCTAACTCTAAACTTACTTTTTTATCAAAACTGGAGACACATTTTCTAGAAAATTTATAACACTGGTCATCAATTAGTCTCTTTTTGTCCACAAAATTTCTAATAATTGTGCATTTGATTTGACCCAGTATTAACTTTGAATGAGCTCCATATTCTAGAACTATAGATCCAATAGGTGGGCTCTCTTCTCGTTAGTCCACCTACTTAGAGAGTTCCTCCTTAAGAAATTTCATACTTACAATTCAATATGTTTAATTTATTTTCTATCTAATTGCTCTCATTTTTTACATTCTTTAATAATATTAATTATATTGTAATTTATTGCATTGTATTGTATGTGTGGAATTTTAAATAATGAAACTGAACTGAACTGTACCTTCGAACAAGCCCCCTCGAATAAGTCTACACTCCAAAATATTTTTACCAAACAAGCCCCCAAACAAGCTTATTCAAGGACATTCAGTATGTGGTATCAAACTACATCTGCTATTTCCAAGGCAAAGCTTTCTCAATCTAATTAATTCACTTTTTGTATCATGCCAAACTTTAATTAAAAGAAAGTTTACATAAACAGCATAAAAATGAGGTTAAAATAACTATGGTTTTAGCAGCTGATCAAAATGAAAATTGATTCATTTACCTGAGTTGGGTAGTTGAGGTAGCCAACAGAAGTGTTAGAAAGGCCCATTGTAGCAACAGTAAGGAAGGCAAGTAAAGCATATGTTTTTAATGGGATTCTGAAAAAAGGGTAAAGATTAAAAGCTACAGCCTGAGACCAATAAATAAAAAAAGCTAGCTGAAAGGTAGTTTTGGAATTAAATCCTGACCTTACAATAGATCTTGCAGTTTGAATAGTGGACTTCAGCCACTGCCTATTCCAGAATTTGAATGGTCTAAATAATATTTGCCTGGTGTCCAACATAATCACTGAACTTTAAAACCTTTAACTTCCTTTTTCAAAACATTTGTTTATCAAACAATTTATATTTCAGAAACATGCTTAACTTTTGGTAATTTCATCAAAAACATTAGTAATGCACTTCAACATCAGGAATGGACTTTAACTTCCTTTTTCATTGGTCTTCCTTATAATTTGTTCCTATGACGTAATGTCTCTGTCTCTGTGATGTTTTCATTCCAGGTGCTAGTTCTTTAATTAATTGTCATGAATTCCAGGAAGCAAAGGATTACATATAGATTGAAAACTAGCTACAAACAAACTAGAAAAATCGATCTCTCTAGCAATAATAAAAAGCAAAAACAACTACTTCAGAAAACAGTACTAGACTAACAACAACAGTCTCATAAATCATCATAAAGTCTCTTTTCTTACCAAAAGCAGCAAAGAAATTTTGAATTAATTCAAATGTTACCTTCTTTTGAATTTCTTCTTGCTTATCAGCACTTCCAATGTCCCAGTGAATGAGTAACATGCAAATTGCACAAGGGTGAGATACCATCCAAATGGCTTGAAGCCTGGCAGGCTGAATATAAGTTCCTGTATTTAGGATAAAAATGATGAGAAATCTGATAGGTAGCACTATCTTCAATAACCAACACATCTATAAAAAAATACTCTAAAAAGGACATTTTCAACAACCAACAGTTTGAGAAAATTAATAAATAAAGGCTCTGTAACAACTGTAACAAGTATCGCATATCAATACCTTTGAACAAATTGCTGTTTTTTTATCCGTAAAATTTGAAAGGAATAAGCAGACAGGATTTCATATAATTTTCATTTTCAATTTTTTAAGGCATGATATCACTCAGTTAGGGAAACGGGGTGGAACCTATGCAACTTTTGCCTGAGATATCTGGTGTGGACTTCATTATTTCCTTGGCGTACTGGCATATAACTTAGAAAAAAAATGTGTTGGCATAAAGATGGATGGGTTCACTATTCCATATTTGTTCGTTTGGACCAGTGTATGCCTTATAAACAAAGGATGATTAGCTTTTTCAATATGCATTGCATCATACAATTTCTTGGCAAAAGGCATTAAGATGTAGATCTTTTGGCAAAGCTTCGTAATTAGCGGGCCAATATCCAACCTGAGGTCTACATAGATTCTACCCTGGTTAGAGAATAACTGACTTACAGGGGGTCATGCATTTGAATACCATCTAAGTTAAATAGATATAATAAAAACAACATAATAGAATAAGATTATTACTTTGGTGCATATAGGCAGCTTTACTGTTAGATTTGAAAAGATTTCGCAAAAACAACCAAAGTCAGCTTGGCTAAATTTTGGAAACAATAGGAGTGTCTTATTGCACAATAAACCCCTTCCATAACACAAATGCTGATTCAAGATGTTTGTTTGGAGCTATTGATTTATCGACGTTGCTAAAACGAGGAACAAGCGGAACAACCTAGTAACAAGCGGAACAACCCAGTAACAACCCAGTAACAAGCGGAACAACCCAGGAACAAGCAGAACAACCCAGTAACAAGCGGAAATGTGAATTAATTGTTTAGTAAATACCACATGGGGGCGTTTATAATCCAACTCTCTGAAGTTTGTGTGGGCTAGAACTATCAAGAGGCCGTCAATCATGTCTTCATCAGTTTCGGAGGCTTTGTGATTTTGCCAACGGACAGAGAGAATCTATCGACCCCGGATCGGGACGAAAAATAAATAGTAAAGTATGCCTAAAGGGGTATGGGGAATGCTCCCCCAGAAATTTTTTGAAAATGGTGGCTGCTCTGGTGGCTATTTTGGTTGCTAAAATAGCTATGCTGGGTAAACTGCACTGGCGGCAGTGGCTAAGATAGAAGGAATCAGAGGGGGGCAACAAAACCCTGTAGAGCTAGACCGAGGGGCAATTCACTCTTGAAAATTGCGTACAAGATTTTACCAAAACAAAAGGATTTCTAGGGATTATCAGATAAAGTAATAGGATTTTTATAAAAGGTGTACAAGATTTTCTTGGAGTGATTTGCCCCTCGAGCTAGACTCCTATTTTGTCGGAAAACCTCTGGTCTTCTGGAAATTTTCTATGTTTATCTACTTGCCATGTTTTATAGGAAAGAATTTAAAGCAATGAAAATAAGAATATCTGAATATGTCAAAATATTTATTTATTTCAGTTCTGATGACGTTATGTTTTGTGTACTTAGATATGATTGTATTTAGAGTGTATTATGGCTCTTCAACTAATTTTATTTAGATAAATAAATTTTTTTATGATGATGATGATGGAAACGCCAAACATCGGTTGCGTGTTTGTCACCCTACCATAAAAATTTCACGATATTGCGCCATTCAATCGCCTGGGGAGAAAAATGACATTGATGTGCCTACAAGAAAAATCATGCCCTGTCGTGGGATAAAAGTCGGAAAATCCAGGAACCAGGAAACTGATGGTTTGCCTAGAATCATTTTTACTGAGGCGGAAAGTTAACCTCTTCTTTAATCCAAATTATAAGTTGTAAGAGGCTGCCCATTGTATTCCTTCCCATGCAGTACATTGTTATAAAGGAAACATACTACAGTAAGACAATTATTGGTGGGGCTTCAGAAACCCCCCCCCCCAGCCCCCCGGCTCCGACGGGCCTGAAAAATGTGATTGCAACAGGGCTACATGTATAGAAGATTTACAGCTATGGCATGCACATGCTCATTTGCAAACAGTGTGTCACCTGGTTGTGATCGAATGTATAGGCATGGCTTTTACTATTTATTTTTCGTCCCGATCCGGGGTCGATAGATTCTCCCTGTCCGTTGGCAAAATCACAAAGCCTCCCAAACAGACGAAGACATGATTGACGACCTCTTGATAGTTCTAGCCCACACGAACTTCAGAGAGTTGGATTATAAACGCCCCCATGTGGTATTTACTAAACAATAATTCACATTTCCGCTTGTTTCTGGGTTGTTCTGCTTGTTCCTGGGTTGTTCCGCTTGTTACTGGGTTGTTACTGGGTTGTTCCTCTTGTTACTGGGTTGTTCCGCTTGTTCCTCGTTTTAGCAACGTCAATTGATTTATATAGGTCTGATGATTTGCACGCAATCTACCCTCCAGTTCTCCTTTAATAACTTTTGTCTAAATAAATCTATAAGGCTGATTTAATTTTTAAACATCATATATACCATAATTTTACTGTTTTTACCATATTTTTATAGTTAATTTAAAATTCCAGGTAATATGAAAGTCTCTGAAATCTAGACAAAAATGTGCAATTTGTGAAAACAGCCCACCAGTTTTCCTTTAATAACTTTTTGGACAAAAATGATAAAAATATTATTTAAAATTGAATCAATTGAGAATGGTCTGCTACACTGTTTTTTATAGTTTGCAAGAGGTTAAAGACGTTTCGAGAACATTGCCTGCCAACGAATGTTGGCAAAATCTCGATTTTCCCAAAACTGCTGTTAAATTAAAGGCGGCAACAGACAAACCATATGTCAATCAATAATTGGCCCACGAGTAAGCTTCATACCACTCACAGCATATTGATTGGCAAATATTCGGGGGGTATACTTAAAAATGTGTATGTATACAGTCATCAAAAAACAAATGTTACCTGCATATATCCATAGATCAAATAAAATCCGAAAACGCCAGTAGAACAGATACAAAATTTAAAAACATCTGAAGATTTTGTGAAGTCTTTACCAAAGACGACGAAGGAGTGTCGGTTTACTGAATGTTCTGTAGCACCACTTGTTTTTTCTTCATCGTAGCTCTGTTGTGTGGTACGACTTCTTGAGGATGTTATAGAATTTTGCCCCGCTGGTATCGAAATGGCTGTGTAATTGCTCATTTTTGTCCCATCATTTGTTGATATGTTACAAATCAGGCTCTAGTTAAGGTGGCACGTTCATATTAAGGCGATAGAAGTTAACCATGGAAACTAATTGATACGGCCACGTGAGCCACGTGGACAATTATCTCGAGACAACGACTCTTATTTTTATTCATATGCTTCTTATGGAAAATCTATTTCACTCATCCATTTATTTATTTTATTTGAATGTTTGAACATTTTTTTTGACACTTATTTATTGTATATCATCAGGGCCACAGAGCAGTGGTGGCGCCAGGGGAGGGCTAGGGGGGCTACAGCCCCTCCGTCGGAAGCATCTAGCCCCCCCATCGGAGGAAATTTTAGGTTTTTGTGGGAGCAAATTTGACAAAATAACGTACGAAAACTGCTTATTTTAGTCATTTTAGCCCCCCTGTCGGAAGCTCCAGCCCCTCTGTCGGAAGATTTCTTGCGCCACCCCAGACTGGAAACTTTGCTGCGCGCCCGCAATATATTGCCCGCGCACACATCTGCGCGCTTTTGCATATTGGCCGCGCAAAATCCCCTTGATCCCTAGACAATAGCATTCAACATTATTAACAATAAAAATAACTAAGGGTGCATGATTTCAGGTGCGCAGTCTCAAATTTTCAAAATAAACTTGCCCGCGCAAGAAGCAAAGTTTCCAGTCTGGGCGCCACCCCTGCCACAGAAAGGGGGACAAAAGATTGCAAGAAATGCCACAATAAATATTCTTAAATGCATTTCAAGCTAGACTGAAGGACATGGTTGCAAAAACTTTTCTCCTTGCTCCGCTCGCAGGGGACTCATCTTTCGATTTTGCCCCAGGGCCTCCGAACCCTTGCTGCAGCTCTGTATGTCATATCAGGATCCATATGCTGCCCTCAAAAGTTTAACCTTCTACCATTCTCTAAATTTCTTTAAAATAAATTTCAAGTTTGAAAATTTAACAGTAAAAAATAGCAGTGTATATAGTTGTGATTGCAAAATGAGAAAAAGTGTCATAAATATGGTGAACTTCAAATACTGGTTAACTTTTTCAAGCAAATAAAGTTTTTTTAAGTTAAATAGTCTTTAATATTTTAAGTACATTTTATTACTTTCAACAATACAGTTATTTGAAAAGTCAGCAATCCTAAAAGCTTTGAATAAATTACGTTTTAATGACCCTTGAGTGGATTTATTAGCGGAGCAAAGATTAATAAACTTTAGGTACAGAAGGTTGAATAAATGAAGGCATGTGTTTTTGCAACTAGCTTGTCATTTTATAAAGAATTCCTATATCTTGAAATTTTTAACGTAACTTGCCTTTCCTGAAGTTTCCAACTTAATTTATTGTCAATTATTTCTCTAGAATGCCCGTTTCTTCTGCAATTTTAGTAAAAAAATCTAGAATCTGATAACATTTAGGTCTCTATTCCAACACAAGAACAGCTGCCAAAGCATACTTTGTTTAGGGACACCACAGTTATAGTTCATTCCCATTTATACCATCATTAGTCCTTTAGTACCTATTAACACAACATGAAACACCAATGTACCACTTCTCTGTACACAATATTATAGGTAATTTAGAAAAATATCATGGTTGTCTGTTTCAAAAGCTTATGTAAAATGAAAACAGAGGAACAAGCACATAAGCTTTTCTTTCAAAATTGTTTATGTTACATATTGTTCGATGGTCTAAAATTGATGAGCAAGTAACACTGATACTGGCAGATGACTTTACTTGAATTTGAAATTCAACCATGATATCAATTTTTTTTAATTCTTCAAGCATCTTACTGGAACTGAAAAGGTTCAATAGATTCTATCCCAGTTCCTAACACTGCCAAAGATTCAAGATTAAATTTATCTGAAAATATTCACAAGTCAGAAAATGGAATCTCCAGTAGATGGCTTTCTTTCTTTCCAATTTCATTTTATATTGTACAAGTTAGCCATTTAAAAATTGCTTCTTTTCATTTGAAAGTTTGAAATTGAAATTATATTGAATAAACCTTTGGATTTTGTATTATAACACCTTGTGAATTTAAAGATAAAATACTGTTTAATGTTTCAAGAAAATGAGAAACGGTTTACATTTAAATCTTATTGTAAATAAAAGATACTAGAGGAGTAATCCTTGAAATAGGAATTTTATCCAGGATTATCTATGTGATAATCCTCATCAAAAACCTGAATCTAAATCTGTTTCTGCAGACAAGAGGCTATTAGCCTACAAACAACTTCGCTGTCTAATTTTGAAAACACTTCATGATAAATTGGTTCTTTGAAAACATTGGGGGCAAAAGTTGCAAGGGTTACATCAGCTACAAGCGAACAAAACATTATGCTGCTTAAAGGCAATCAATAGATACAAAAGGGCTTTAGCCACCTTTCAATCAAAAATTGACCAATCAGTGAACATGGTGTCACTCACATAGCTATTGATTGGTTAATATTGATTGATAGATGGCTTAAGTTACTTTCATATCAGTTGATTGCCATGAAGTAAATCTGGTTACTCTGCATGATTGCAAGGCGTTTTAACAATCATGTGCAAATATAGAGGGGTTTTAGCACCTCTTGCTATATTATCCTGTCAGTGTACTCTATACATTTGCGGTTCTTGCAGAGTTCATTAACTTCTCAGCAGTTCTTCCTTTAAAAGTGCTTCTTTCAAAATTAATTGTGGCCATTGCATGTTCCTCTAACATCAAAATTCCCGACCAACTTAAACTAAATAAATTCATTACCATATTCACATTAAGCATTGAAGATAAATAGGATATCTCTTGACACTGATCCAAATCTAAAGCCCAAAAAACATTCAAATATGATGATAAGGTCATCTGATAGCAAGGGGAGAAAAGGAGTTGAAATTTACAATGTCATGATTCTCTTAGAAGCAAAGTTTTTGTTTAGTGGTGCCTTCTTCGCTCTATTCACAGCCCTAAAACTAAGAAACAGGCATGACCTTTTCTTGGAAATTCATTCAAAAATCAACTGTAGAGGCTGATTTTTATTGAAGCCCTTTACACATATTGTATCTTGACACGGTTCTTTGAAAAATTCATTTGCATTGTTGACAGATAATTGCAGAAGAACAAACAAATGAAATAACTACATAGCTCTCTGAGGTTTGTAGGCAACATCATCAGTAAAAGACTAATCAGTAATAAAACAATATAACAATTGACTAACAAGCATGGACGGAATATTTTCAAGCAATTACCAGTCATACATTTGCATGTGCGTACGTCTGACATCATTGACAATGATCTCAATTTCCTCACAAAACTATGACATAAAAGAAATTTGAAGACTCTCCTATACAATTCAATGTTCAGCTGGGAGATCATAAGATGTTCCTGCAGTCAGCTGAAAGAAATTTCCACATTCACAGCGCTGTGCAGGACCCTTTTTGAGGATCATCCAATTTATTGATGTAGCATCTTCTTCGCCTACAAAAAATCAACTATGTATATAATGATAACCAGACCAATATTTGCACGAATCTGACAGGTCGAACAATCCTGTATCAGATTATCAAAAGGTTATAAAGAAAAACATGCTGAATTATAAAGAAAACTTTTAAAAAATTACAAATACTAAAAAAAGTTTACTGTTGATGTTGACTGCTTCATAATAAAAATAATATATATTTAACTGTTTAAGTCCAAATTAATTAGAAACAATCTTTGCCACCCCTAAATAATTAAATATGATTTTATATACTTATGAAAAAGCCTTTAAATTGCAAAAATTTATCTTGAAATGAGAAAATTTGGTTACAACTGGATAATGGGGTACTGAAATCCACTCTAGAAAAATGTCTTTATTATACAACTAACATGACCAGTCATGAATCTAGCTGGATTCTGAAAACTAGTGCTAGGTTATACATCTCTAACCTTGTTGCTTTTCTTAGCACCTCACAAGGACTTGGAGGATGCATTAAGATTCTAGTTTTTTTATTCAGAAAAAGGGGGATTTTATTATTTGAAAATGGCTTTGAAAAAAAACAAACATTTTACAACATACTAAAAGCTTTTTTGTCTGACACTCCTCAGAGCATAAAATGTCAGAATAAGGTTTGGAAAGAACACGATGAAAAATATATACCCAGTTGTGGATCAAAATAGGCCAATCAGGAAAACGCAAGCACAAGAACGATATAGTTGACCAATCAGTGCTGCAAGCCTAAAGAAAAATTACCACTGGGGTCCAAGAGAGAAAACGAACTCCTTCTGTCTACACAATGGGGGCCTTTTTCATTTTTATGTAGATCAACTCCAAAACTGCTAGATGGAAGGACAATTAGGCTCTGCCAATTATCCGAATCATGTCGTCATTATAGAGTTTTGCACAATCTGGGTTGTCTAAAAGATGTTGACCGATGGCAGAATCACTTGTTTTAACAATGTTTCTAGACCTGCTAGATCGAGGAGGCTGTTCTCTTTAAGGGGCAGTTTTGTTTTTTTGTGTTGGAAGGAACATGCTGTTTTATCCTATCCCCCAATCTTTGGGTTGTGCGTCCCACGTAGCCAGAATCATACTGGCACGTAAATTCATAAATGACAGGACTTTTTTGATTGGTAGGAACGCAATCTATCTGAATGGATAGAAGGGCTCTCCAAGTGCTGTAAACAATCCGAGGATTGACAGCAAAGAAACATTTAGTTATGGCTTGCCTAATCTGACTCTTGAATCGCAAGGAAGTGTTACCAATCCATTTTCAAATTCTGTACCGCAAAAAATTGTTCAGATTTAGTATTTGTTTTTACTGAACAGCCTTGTTGTTGTATGACACATGCTATTGTTTTTATTGTTCTTTCTGCATCAAACACAACACTAATACCAAATATAAAAAATAGAACCATTCTGCAATAAAATAGCTCAATAAACTTTCATTTAGCAAATATCTTTCTGATTTTACTGATGATAAAAAATTATTTCTAATCACAAAACAATACTCAGACCCATTGGAATTTCATCAGGATTCACACTGAACTTGAAAAATTTTTACTATAAAATTTAATTACTAGTTCACAGCCCATGAGCTTTGAAATAACAAATTACATTTTTCACTATTGAGAAAACAGGGTTTTATAATCTAAAAAAAACAAGGCTAGCCTTTTTGAATGATCTAAAATTGCTGTTTGTTCAATCTAATGTTAATTTAGTAGTAACATAATGTTTACTTATATTTTTAAAGCATCATTTTATACATGAATTCTGATCTTCTGCAACTGCCTGTCCAAAATCATTTGTAACATTCCCTTCCCCTAAAGGATCTACAATACAACACAATACTTACATATACAGCCAACAATTCTTTGATCAAATGATGAAGGAACAACAGTTGGAAGCTCCCTTGTACCAGGAGGTCCTTTTTTGACATTGAGGTTGAAGGGGTCCTACAAAAAATTTCAGGACTTTTATCAAAACCAAATACAGCAAATTTTCAAATATTTCCAAAAATCAATCATTACTTCAGAAAAAACATATTTTCCCTTGTCCATGCTGATTATTTGCCACCTTTAAAGACTGGAACACAAGTTTTTAAAAGCAAGGTAATTCCAAAACCAATTGATCACCTTTGGCCTCACCAATATTGGTGTGGTATATTGCCCACCTTCACAAAAACATGTCCAATGCGCAAGAGACAGGGAGAGCATCTATTTTAAAGTTAGTCCCTATCAATAGCTTTGAATGGCAGGTCATCAGGTTGCTAAGAAAAACAAAGCATCATTGCTTCATTATTCACATTTTATATATATTATTGCATCAAAATGTTTTCAATTTGGCCAGAATTTGTTCATTTGGAAGATTTGTTCATTCAAATGGTAGGTAATCCTTGCCAGATGATACCCTTAAACCCCCCCCCCCTTAGGCCCTGGAGGACTTCCTGGATGATCCCATTTGTAAGCATATCCATGTAGGCAGATCCTGGCTCTTATGAAAACAAAAAGGCCTTGTGTTTTCTTCCAACAGAAACAAGAAACGGGCTGTCGTTTTAAAACCTGGCTGAACAGTATTTCTATATACAAGGAATATGAATAAGACAGAGCTTCAAGCTGAAACATGATTTTTATTGAGGACATTTGGGAAGCCTTATGGAAAACCAAGAAAAAGCTACGAAGACAAACAGGTAGGAAGCCATGTGGAAAACCAAGAAAAAACTACAAAGACAAACAGTTAGTATAAAGAGGCAAACTCCCACTATATATAAAAAATTCACAAATACATACCATGTTTCCAGCAACCATTGCTTCAAATTCACGTCTTTCCAATCCAGTTGCTTGCTCTTCTTCTGTTGGAATGGTGTCAACTGCAGGTGCGGCTAAAAGTAACAAAACAAAATAAACACTTGAAAAATAAGGGATAAAATAAAAATTTAAAATGGGAATGTTCAACAAGTTGAAGTAATAATGAAACTCTTGATGGTCTACCTTCAATAATTATCAACAGATGAAGTTTGATGACAAAATAGAGACCTAAAAAGAAGCCTGAAGCATAATTTGTAAAAAGGCCCACAGAAGGGATAGGCTAGATAACCTAGTATTGACAAACGTACAAGGGACACTTGGACTCTTTCAGGTAGTTTTAACAGTCTTCTCTTTTCCACCCTTAACCAGTGTCAACTACATCCTTAATGTTTTCACAGCAAATTAATGGAAGAGTATGTAACTTTCCTTTGTTAATAGAACTAAAAAAAGAAATTTAATTGTCTAAAACATCTTCAGGTTAAAAGATACACTTGCCAATCTGACTTAATTCTTTTGTTTGGATTGCTATATTGCCTCGCATTTTTTTCTTTTGCAAAAAGTTTGGCCTAAGCCTTGAAAGCCGTATCTGTTGATGTCACTGGGGGCATGCTTTGCTCTGCTTTTGACAGAAAAGGGCATCAGTAACAATGTTTTCAAAGCAGTTCCACAAACTCAGGTATATACAAAGAAACACTGTACTTTAAAGAAATTAGCCTAAAATTTTACATAGGTTTTATAGAAAAAGATGTTAGAGTATTATCACCTTGCAAGCATTGTCAATGCAGAGCAGAAATCAATGAAACATTATCAAAATATATATTGCTTTAAATCCAAGCTTATTTGAGACCTTATGCTAAAAAGGCAGAATCTCATTTTATTCAGAGGAAGATGGCCTATCTGTCAAATGGACTTAAAAGACATCAAGATTTCTTAATAAATATCAAATACAAGAAACTATAAATATGTATTCTTATCAAAAACAATAGTTTAAGAGAGCAATGGTTTCTTGAGATGCCCATATAGTTACTAT